ACCTTCACACTCCCGCCCCCACCGCGCCACCACCCTTCCACCCACTCCAGAGTGCCCAGGGAGTCCCGAGAAAGCTCTGCATTCACCCTTGCCTCTCCTCTTTGTCTGCTCGTTTTCCTCGGCTCCGTCTGCTCGCCTTCTTCCCTGCTGCTGCTGCTCTTCCCCTCCTCCTCCTCCTCCACCACCGTTAGTTTCCACCTCCACCTCCACCTCCTCTCGCCGTCATCGTTTCCGCAATCATCATCATCATCATCATCATCATCATCATCATCATCATTCTCAACATTATCATCGTCGTCTACATAATCATCATTATCACCATCATCACCATAAACATCATCATCATCACCATAATCACCATCGTCGCCACCATCATCATCAACATGACCATCATCACTATCACCGTCGTCATCATCGTCATACCCAGCATCGACCGCATCGCCATCACCATCATCATATTCATCATCCTACTCATCATCGTCATCGTGGTATTTCACATCATCATCACACTCAACATCATCATCACAATCATCATCATCATCATCACCATCGCTGTCTTCCCTGATCTTCCACTACCTTCATTCTTTCATATCTTCCCCATGGGGTGAACCGCGAAGGCATCTTTCAATAATATATATCTACATGTCTATCTGAATATCGATCGATCTATCTATCCATATCGTGCCCCCTCAATCTTTGTTCCACTGCGTGTTGCGACACGCAGGGCAACTCGCCAGGGCATCGTTTCTGTGTGGGGTTGTGGGGGCATTTTTTGATCGCGACCGCGAGCGAAACACCCGCGCGGCGTCAAACAGTCGAAAAAGAAAGGCCGCTACGTCGGGCCGGCTACACGGCACCGCGAACGAAGCAGGAGGGGGCGAAACGACGAAGAAAGCGAAGAGCAAGAGAGAGCGCGAAGAGAAAGAGAGAGCGAAACGAAGAGAACGACGGCGAGAGAGGACCGAGGGAACGGGAAGAAAAGAAAAACCGCAGCTCAGAAGAGGAACGAGAAGGGGATCATCCTGATCTTGCTGTACCCCATGTGCTTGCCGTAAGTGGGAGACAGATGACCTCAAAACCAATCCAGTCATCAGATGCAGATGGCTCGTAATGACCAGGAGTGGACAGCCCGACCGCGCCCTCACTGAGGACCGAGTAGCAGTGCCCACGGCCGTCTCCAGTGACAGCGCGAGGCCGACGGGGTGACGGGGACCTACCGCCCCGCGTGCCACGGGGGGAGCACAGGGTCCGGAGGCCACCGGCAGAGAAAGGCAGTTGACAGCCGCCGGGAACTCGATTTGCTTCAGGGGGAGGCGGCTGACAGCCGCAGGAGGGTGGGTGCCCGCGCCAGTATCGCCAGTGACCAGCCCACGGCCCTGGGAGTGCAGCTAGCAGCTAACGGCCCTGGGTTGTGGGGACACTCGAAGCGTCAAGAATTGCGCTCCTGTTGAACTTCAGCGGGGAAACTGCAGGAATAACTCCAAGGGCTAGCGCTTTATTTGCCTCTTGTGTGTGGGAGTGCACAAAAACATATTCTGAATCATTAGACTTTCCGTTCGATCCAGCCGCGTCTGCTCGCGCACGTCTCGATCGGACCGCAGCGGGGAACTGGCGAAACCGCCACGCGTGTTGGAGGGGAAGACGCAGGTCAAGCCGAGCGATTATCCTTTTGAGCCCCAGATGACGACGGCGACCCGACCGACCGACGACGAATACCGACCGACCGAACGAAACTGGGGTGGGGAACGGCGGGACAGGGGAGGAGATCACGGGCCAGGGGCGGGGAAAACGAGGAAAACTGGGCTGTGGAACTGTGGGACAAGAGCAGAGAACACGGACCGGGGGCGGAGAAACGAGGAAACGAAGCTAGGTTGAGGAACTGCGGGACTGGGGAGAAAACGGACCGCAGGCAGCATGCATGCAAGGCTGGCTGGCGAGTGTTTGACTGATGAGACGGACCTGCGGCAACTGCATATTGACGCTGTGGCAACTTCAAACTGCCGCGCCGCTTCTGCAATTAAGCAGACCTTGACCTGGTATCACAGTACAACTTACCTCCAGAAACCCTTTATCTACGTCGTTGTGCTTAACCACAAGCAAGGAGCACCTGCTCCTAGATTCCACGATCCTAAAAAGGGACCCTGGCCTCACGGGTCGATCGGGCTGGAAACATGCAACAGAAAGATGCGGTCGAGGGTCCCAACCGTGATTTCGCACGATGCTGCGTTTTTTTCGCGACGTTGGATCTCAGAGTCTGAAGGCCCCAGGGCTGCGGAGGCTGAAAACAGTTACTTAGCACGGGGGACGCAAGTTCTGAAGGAAACGGTTCCAGACCAATTCTTCATCCCGAATCGTTTCCTGACAGTCCTGGGTCCCGTGGAGGGCGCCGGGAAACAAAAACCGGCGAAAAACCTCAGGACCCGTTTCCCTCAAGACCCGCTTCCTCCATGGCGAATGGTGAACGTTTTCTTTTTTGGCGTTTCGACATTGGGTAGAGAGCGGGGGGCGGGTCTGGCTCCGGTTCCGCTTTATGCGACTGTTTGCAACAGTGCGTCCTATGGGGGGGACTCCAATTTCTGGAAACAGGCGCCAAAAACGGCCAAGATCTACTCCAGGGGGGGGGGGAGGGGAGCGGGTGCGAGGGCCCGCGCCGATCGGCAAAGCACTGAATAAAACGATCACCATGGCGAGTGAAACAGCCTACGACCCCTCCCCTCCCCCCCCCGAGCAGTGTTTCTGCGTGCTGGCCTTGCCGAATCGGCTTCCTCGCCTCGATCGAGCGAGAGTGAAGAGGCCCACCGCCGTGGCGGCGAGAGGCCTCGCCCTAAGAGGCTCCCAAAAAGACGCCCCACCGGAGCTTTGCAAGTCTTAGGTCGGGCATGTTCTGCTACAGGCGGATTTTGGAAAAAGACTTCAAACAAGTCAGAACAAATCAAACATAGTCCAAACATAATCGAAATATCGGCACCATACCATTTCTGGACTCTTCTTGAACCTTCCGCCTGTACAGGGACAGGCCCGACTTAAAACTGGGCCAGAATAGTATCTCTCAAGAAGATGAGACCCTCTGTCGGTCAAAGCAAACAGGACATCTAAGGGTACCCTCCCCAAGCTGCACACGGACATCCAACAAGCACGAAGAACACGGGCACCCTTCCCGGACCTCGGGCCGGCTGTATCTTCGAACCTCGATTTCTTCACGGCGGTGTTCACCGATTCCCCGCACGCCTTGCCCTTCCGCAACGTGTACCGCCAGAGGTCTGGACCCCCTTCCCGGGGACCGCTTTTCCAGCCCAAGCCATTTTTTGGGCGCGGGTTTGGGACAGTCCCCTCCCCGGCGCGCGGAGCGCGCCAAGGGCAGCGCCGGAGGCGCCGTCGCGGGAGCGTCAGCGCCGCTCCAAAAAGTCTGCGCGGAGCTCCAGAACATTTTTTGTTGCCGTTTCCTCTTCTCGGCGGCGAGCCCAGGGGGGCGTGAGAAGGAGAAGGCCTTCTCAGAAGGCTCGGAAGTCCCCCAGCCTTCTGAGAAGTCCCACCGGTCCTCTGGGCTGGGTGGTTTAACGAGCTGTTCTCAGTTCCCTGCCACAGCCCCTCCTTTCTCTGCTCGGGGGAAGGGTTTATCACTGTTGCCCATCAATAGAAACCCCTTCCCCCAGGCGACTGGTAGCCAACCCAGAACCATGCGGGCACCCCCCACCATCCCTTGTAAAAAACAATACAACACACACTCTGCCTCCAAATTCGGAACATGCGCAGCCAACCCGATGCGGCCTCCCCCACCATCCCTGTCAAAAAACAATACAGAGTACATTTGGCGGCGGCGGCTGCGGCGGCGGCGATTTGGCAGCGGGGGCGGAGGCGGCGGCGGCGGCTCGGCGGCGGCGGCGGAGGCGGCGGCGGATTGGCCCCTAGTAGCTGCCCATCCAAAGACGACTGCTGAATATGCTGAGGCTCGGGCCAGACTCGGGTGCTACGTATGTGTTGGGAGGGCGGGTGGGAGTGAGCGAGACGGCTTGCGGGCGGGGAGGGAGTCTTGAACCCTCCCCCTACTCCCTCCCCTGGGCCTGGGAGGGTGGGCGGACGAAGCCGTCAGAGCGCCCAAGAGGGTCTCCAAGATGGCTCAAGATACTCCAACATCGCTTCAGATAGCCTCCGACAAGCCTCCAAGATGCCCCAAGACAGCCCCAAGAAGATTTCAAGTGCCACTCCCGCCTCCCAAGGCCCCTCCCAAGAGGCCCAAATCCTTCAAACACCTTAGGACAATCATGGTTATTTGGTTTCTCGCTCTTTCGCTTCCGATAAACCTCTTCGGCCTCATGATGGCTCCAAGATAAGCCAAGAGAGGCCCCAAGAGGCGCCCAAGAACGGCCCGAAAGGCCCCCAAGAGGCCATCTTGGAGCTTTCGAGGGGGGGGGCCTAGATTGGTTCCCCCCCTTCTTTGATCGACCTCCTCTAAGATGGCCCCAAGGGGCCCAAGACGGTCCCAAGACGGTCCCAAGATGTCCCCGAGACCCCCCAAGTAGCCCCAAGAGGGCCCCTAGACCCCTCAAAAGAGCCCCAAGAGGGCCACCAAAAGGCCCCAAGTGGCTCCGCGAGGACCCCAAGAGAGACCCAAGACGGCTCCGAGCGACCTCCGAGAAAATACTTCCACGGCGGTTGTTATACTGCATGCTTCTACACTTCCCTGATCAGGGCAACTCGCCTGGCGATCTGCTTCTGGATGGGCCCGTGGGAATTCGCGAAGCGCCAGCAATCTCCTCAGCCTCCCCCGAAGACGCAGAAAACCCCGCAGAAGGCGCGAGGGCTTCGGAGAAGCCTCGCCGCCTTCTGAGAAGGCCTTCTCCTTCTCACCTCCCCCCCCATCGCTCGCCTCCGACGAGAGGCCTCCCGTCGTGCTCGCGCCGCGGCGGGGTCTGGGCACGTCGCCCGGTGCCCGGGTCCTGCCGCTGCTGCAGCTCCCCCCCGTCGGCGGGGGTGGGTGGGGGTGGGGGCTGGGCGCGGACCGCGCCCGCTGCGAGGTGGTTGTCCGACAGGTCCAGCACCTTGGCGCCGGGGCGGGCGCGGGGCCAGAGGAGAGAGAGAAGTGCAGTAGGGATGCCAGTCCACTGGGAACCTTCCACCAGAAACCCAACCCTGAGACCCCAGGGCGTCCACTGGTGTTTGGTGTGGGCACGTCACGCTGCCCATCGCAAAACCATCGAAACCAAGAAACCCAGGACATCCTGGAGGCAAGCAGGGTGTTTCTTGGCATGGGCCTCCACTGTATGCACACGCACCGACCCTGGCCAGGCCCATCCTGAGCCCAAGAGCGGTGCGTGCGCTCTCCTGGCTCGGCTAAGGAAGCACACGCTGCGCGCCGGTCCCGAGCCAAAAACGGGCCTGGGCATAACCACGAGAGGGGAACTTGAATCAGAAAAAACACAATGGGTACCGGGGGGGACAACACTAATTGTTCAGTAGAATGGAAATTCAACGACGATGGCGATGACGAGGACGATGACGACGACCACGACGACGACGACGATGACAATGACGACCACGACCACGACCACGACCACGACGACGACGACGACGACGACGACGACGACGACGACGACGACGACACTTGCACCGCTCCCGAGCCCGCCTGCTCGCACGCACCCCCCGCGTCCCCGCGCGCTCGATCGCCCGCCCGCCCACGCGCCCTGTGGCCCGCCCGTCCAGTTGCCCGCCCTCCCGCCGCACCGCGCACCCCCCCGCCAGCCTGCCTGGCCGCTGGGCCGCCCGCGCGCCCACGCGCCGCCCGCGCGCGCACCCGCCAGCCCGCCAACTTGATCGCTCGCCGCTCCGCGCGACCGCCCGCCAACCCGCCCGCCCGCGCGCGCCCCCGCGCAGCCGCCCGCCCGTGCGCCCGCGCGCCCGCCGCTCGCTCGCGCAACCGCCCGCCTGCCCGCGCGCCTGGTGGAGGTGCTGGTGGTGGTGGTGGTGGTGGTGGTGGTGGTGGTGGTGGTGGTGGTCGGGCCTGCACGACTGCTTCGCTCGTCGAAATGCCAGAAGGGCCTGGAACATGTGAAGACTGAGAGCCAAGAGACAAGTGCTTAGTGCTGACTCATGGCGCTGTGGGGCCATGTGCCTGACGTGTGCCTCGCTCATTTCTCCTCCCACTGGTTCCGCCATCCTCTAGCGCACGCCTCCTCCATCATCAAGGGGGGTCTGGGGTTGGGGGCAGGCAGGCAGAACGGAGGTCTGGTGCAGCGCAGGCACCGGTGGCGCAGGCTCTGCTCGCTGGGCCGCGTGCTGGATGCCACCTCGCAGGGAGTGCTGGAGCTCCCTCCGAGAGGTCCGAGAACTCTACGCTCGACGTTCGATCCATACCCCTGCTCGGCGGCGGGCCCAGAAGTGAGAGGCAGGCCTTCCCGGAAGGCGGCGGGGCTGCTCAGAAGCCCCCGCGCCTTCTGAGAAGTCTTCCGCACCCCCCCCCCGAGGACAGGGGCGGCCTCTCAGAAGGCGGGAGGGCTTCTGATAAGCCCTGGCGCCTTCTCTCAGAAGGCCCGCTTCCTCCCACTTCCCTCCGAGGCTCGCCGCCGACCTGCTGCCGCTGCCCCCCCCACTCTGGACGCCTGGAGAAGCGGGGCACAGAGGAAGCGCCTGCGTCTTGTGAAGAGGCCCTGGAACACAAATAAATACATACAAATAACAGGATTCCCCATATTTTCAAATATTTTCTGGTTTTTGTCTTCCACCCCACTTCCCATATTTTCCCATATTTTCTGGGGAATCGACGATTAATTGTGTCTCTGTGTTTTTTCCCCTCCTGATCTTGGTCTGGGGCCAAACGCTTGTGATGCTACGTTTTTGCCTTACATTTCTACCACTTGACTTCCTCAAATGTGACCGGCGCTTAGGCGGGAGCTTCATTTTGAGTTTTCGCGCCGCAAGCGCTCACCGGAGCCAATCAGCAACGCCATTCCCCCAGCCAGGGTGCCACCGGAGCCCACTGGCAGCGGGGCCGGCATCAGGTCAGGTGCCCCGCTTCAGCTCAGGGGGACGTTGTATCCATGCCGCCGCTCTGGCCCTTCGTGGGGTCGGGGCGTGAGCAAAGGCTTGAACACGGTGTCGATCGCCCGGGGAACAGCCCCTCAAAGCCAGAAGCCCGGGCCGGCGGAGGGGGCCACAAACAGGGACAACGTTCCATGGCTGGCTGCGTCCTAGGGGCCACGGTCCGAGTGCGAGAGGAGGCGGATGGCAGATCGGGGCGGCGAGGTGAAAAGGAGGAGCGGATGAGGGGAGGAGGGCGGACGCGGGACGAGCAGGAAGCGAGGCAGGGGGAGGAGGAGGAAGAGGAGGAGGAGGAGGAGGAATAGAAACATGGGGAGGCTGGGGGGGGAAGATGAGGATCCCGCGCCATCAGGGGGAGGCGCTCGTCGTTCCTCCGCCTAATTAGGCTGCGCTCACCGCGCCGCCCGCAGCCCCTGCGGGGCCTGACCTCAATGCCACGTGGGGAACGAAACCGGTATCGAAGTTCACGCCATTGGCGCTGTCGGCATCCGTCATGATGGGAGCCCTGAATATGGGCGCATCTGGTAAGCCGCCAGGAGGTGGATCTAGATTCATGTTAGTGACGTCAGCAAAGGACCTTGGAGTGACAAGCTCCGGCAGACCGCCAGACCGTGGATCGTGAAACCGTACATGATGAGTAGGGCGCGGCGTCTGAATCTCCTGCCACCCGCCCCCAAGGGTAGCGAGAGACCATCATATCGAACGGCGGTTGCATAGCACAGTGATCTTCATGGAAATATCACATCCCGCCCGCATCGACAGCAGTTTGTGCATCCAGCTATTGAAAGACAAGGTCTTCATGCCGCGTCGATTCTGAGGTTCTTCTTCGCGAAGCTTTTGCGGGGCTTCACCAAACTCGGGAGTGGACGGCATCTTCGGGGGCACCGTGAATCGATGCCGTCTGCAGCCGCGAAATCTTTCGCACAAGGCTCGCAACCCAGCGAACTCGCCTTCCCTCACATTGTCTGCCTGGCTGCTGATGGCCTCGACCAGTGTGGTCCTCTGATCATCCGTGGAGGGCCACGCCTCTGCGCAAAGATCGGCAGCACATTTGTCGCGAGTGTCCGTGTAGAGATCGTCACCAACGGCGACGCACAGATGACCGAACTCTGGCCTCCCCAGCTGCCTGGCGGTGAACGACACACAATGACACACACACACACACCACTCCGCCCAGTGCTCGAATGAGTCCACGTGCTCGTCTCGACCGCTGGCCGGGGTTGAACAGGCGTGTGAGGTGGTTGGCTGTCCCCCTCCCCCTTTCCCCCCTCCGCTGGGGAACCAGAATGCCGCTTGAGGGGGGGGGGCGGTGGGGCGCGGGGGCAAGAGCTCCCAAGCGCATCCCCCGGGGGCCCCGGAGCCTCTCCAGAGCCCCAAGGCGCCCCAAGGCGGACGCCAAGACACTCCAAGAAAGCGCCGAGATGGCCCCAAGCAGCCCCACGGTGATCCAAGCAGGCTTCGAGACGGTCCACGACGCGCCCACGGCGGCCAAGGAGTGCTCCCAGAGGACCGCTCGGAAGGCCCAAGAAGCGAACATCGTCTCACACCCTGAAGGAAACGTGCATTCTCAGCATGCTCGCCTTTTGCATGTTAAAGAGCGTCCAAGACGACCCACCCAAGGAGGCCCCCAAACGGCCCTGGGGCCCCCCAAGACGGCCCGAGAGACCCCGAAGAGAGGCCCAAGCTGGTCCCAGGGGCTCCCTAGACCCATAGTCGGCCGAGCCGCTAGGTTGTGTTCCCCCCGCAAATCGCCCCAAAGTGTCCCCAAAGTGTCCGAAATCGCTTTTGGTGTCGTTTTTGTGGTCTTAGGAAAAAGTGTCGAAAATCGGTTGGCCTTTGGGCGAAAAGCGCACTTTATGATTTTATATGTTGTGCTGTGTTGCCGTGGTGATTGGTTCGCCGCCACCAGAGTCCGCGGACGCCTTTGCTGGCGCCAACCCAGCAGCATTTCGCAACTCCAATGCTCAACGCCATCCACGTTTGAACGTATAGATCGGAATGTGCATCGGCCGAGCGCGCGCGTTGTCCATTACCACGCGCTCGCGTGCCATTCAACGTGCACGCCCCGAATGTCCGATATCAGCCCTCTTCGTCTTCGATCGTGCATCTGAGGGAGTATATATTCCGTGCCCGCCGCGAGTGTTTTACGTAGCCCTTACTAATACAAGGAAGGGATGGAAAAAAGGGCGAAGCGAGATACATAACATTACTGAAGCGAGAACGGAAAGGAGGCGGGATGGATGCAGAAAGGAGGGAATCTATGGATAAATCACAACACATAGTAGCAAGAGAAAAAAAAAAAAGGGATAACAACAAAAAAGGACACCAGAGTAATAGCACATTCCGACACACAGGACATGCAACGAGAACGTAACAGCACCAGAAAACAACACGAGGAACAAACATAAAAAGACAAGGGCATACCAACATACAACATGCCAGAGGGAAGTAAGCAAACAACACATTCTCCATCATAAAAAACATTTCGGCCCAAACCTGATCCCACCACCACCCACTGACCAGCCTGCGCTGTCATGGCCGACCCTGGGGCACCTTACCGCGATGAGGGTCGACGAATCAGGCTCGAGGCTCTCGAGCGCGGTCGCATCACTGCTCGGGAGAATAAGAGGGCCAGGCGATCAGAGGAGTTGGCGTTGCTGCCCCAGGGTCTCAAGATTTCCAGCCATGACGTCCGTCTGATTCACAGTCCAAAGATGGTTGGTGTATCACATCCTCTTGTGCTGAAGATTGACGAGGCGTTGTCTATTGTGCTGGCGCCTGGTGTTCGATCTCAAGATGCCCCAGTATATGCTCGTAAGTTCTTGTTGGGCGAAGGAGTTCTTTCAACAAAAAGCTTGGAATGTGAGGCCTCCGACTGCGGCCTGAACCCGAAGACGTACAAATCCAACGTGCAGAGGTTGTCGGCTCTAGCATGGTGCGTGGACCGTTATGCGAGACGAGCTGTGGCGGTCATGGCCAGCAAGCACAAATCGAGAGGGTTGCG